TTGAGGGCCCAAGGAAAGCAATACAAAAGCAATAAATCTCCATTGTGGAGTATTAGAAAAATAGGCCAAGCTGCTGAGGTGGTTTGGCTGGAGGGACGAGGGTGTGGGAGCCCCACACAGCAACAGTCCTCCCTGCCACATCTCGCCCCCCTGCATACTCAGTTCTACCAGATAGAGTCAGATCCATGGGGCTTCAGAGGAGCAGTAAGTGGCAGAGCAGGGGCTGGAGTTTGGCTTAGCCAGGGTTGGAGCATCGTTGGCAGCAAGAAGAGCCTACCTGAGTGGGGTCTGAAGGCCAAAGTTTCCGTGTGAGTCTGTGTGAGAACACACAGCTCCACTCAGAGAGGGACTTACTGAAGCTCACAAGTGATAGACCGGGCTCACACAAGGCAGAGCTGGAGGACCCCTGAGAATTCCTCTTGCTCCTCTTGCACTGGTTGGTGGAGGTTTACTCATAGCACCCCCACAAAAGGGCTACCCAGTCATCATGTGACATACCAGGCAGAGGAACTCAGAACTTCTCAGGGGAGCCGTGAACTCAGAGCCAGGATACTAGGTCTATGCACTGGCTTTACCTGTAACGAGCCCCACAAGCTTGGGCCAATCAGTTAACATCTTAGACTTCAGTTTCCTGCTCCAAAATGGAAATGGTATTTCCCAGTCATCTGACTCACCAGGTAGGTGAGGATCAGATAATACAATGGAAGTAAAGGAACAATTAACTGTACATGCCAATTCAGAAAACTATCAACTGTAAAATCTGATTTAAAGCATCCTTAACCCAGTGCATCTACTGAGTTCTTTGAGTCCCAGGATCTTAGAGTGTCCATATTGTTTTCTCACATCCTTCACCTCCTCAACTCACAGAACTGCATACTGCTGTGTTTTCCTGGGTGGTGCTCATCTCACCAGCCAGTCTACTGCTTCTTTCAATCACTACAGTCAACGTACCTGTGGTTTCATGTCATCTTCCAGTGGAACTGCAGAAGCAGCCCAATGCCCCTAGGTTGCAAGAAACATAACCCGAGCACACCAGATGAACCAGGCATGACAAATTGGTGGAACCTAGGTGCTTGGACTAAGGAATGGGGATGGATTAAGAAGTCAATACCACATGGCATGATCCATGATCCAATAGCATCACCTTATGACATGATCCAGTCAGATCGAGCCTCCCACATCACAAAATTGCAAATGTCCAATCAGATCACGCCATTACTTTCTGTCTATCAAACCTGTCCCCGCGTCCAAAAGCCTGACTCCTGCCTAGCAATATACTTTTCTCTCTACAAAAACACAGTGCTTCAGAGTTTGGCTTTCTATTGTGCATGGGCAAACAGACCAAGTTCTGTTCAGTGACACTTTTTTGCTAATTTCATGATTTTGTTTGTGTGTTTGCTTAATGTCCCACCTCCCTGCCTCACTCACTGTTTACTGGAGCCTCAAGAGGACAGAGGTGTGGCTATCTTGTTTCTTGCTGTATCCCTATTGGTTAGCTCACTTTCCTAAACATAGTAAGTGTTCAATAAATATTTGTTGCATGACCTAGTGGTCAACTACCTCTCATATAACATCCTACTGCCCAGAGTTCAAGGTGAATGAAGGTCAAGATAACTGAAATCCATTGTGATATTTCCACTTCTGTCCTTCCAGTTGTCCTGAAAGTCGTGCTGGGTGGCACTGGTTAGTCACTTCCCCTTCTAGTCAAATGCTTAAGAAATAGTCTGGAAATAATTCCAGAAACTGAGTATACACCCACCCTCAATGCTCCAGAGCCTTGAGAGGAAAAGCAGCCAGACATTTCCAGACACCAACCATTTCCCCTTTGAGCAGTGACATTTCTGGGTTTTTTTCTTTTTGAAAAAAAAGGTCACCAAAATATATCATGCATACCTTTCTCCTAGGTGGTGGTATAGTATAGTAAAATGAGTGTTGGCTTTGGGTCATTTGAACTAAGTTTAAATTTTGCCTGTACCACTTGCTTGCTTTATAGCCTGAGTCAACTGACTTAGCTTCTGTTTGTCTCAATTTCTATATTTGCAAAATGAGGAGACTATGATACAATGTTACGAGAATACAGGTAGTGTTATATATAGAGACAAGCTGGTAGCAAGTGCTTGTTCCTTAAATGAAAGCTAGCAGGCTCCTGTAAGTTGCAGACCCATATTTTCAGGGTAAACCAGGACCAAGTAATAAACAGGCATGGCTGTCAGGGATGACAGCATGTAGGCCTACTTGATTTTTGAGTCCCTGTGTCTGTTTTGTAGAGTTGTGCTATTCCTTTGCACCCTGACAACTGTCATTTCTCATTGCCACTGGGAACCTTTCATCCCCTTATCCCTCCTCATAATTTGCTGAATCTTAGGATGTATGAGCTTGTTAAATAGATGTGCAAAGAGTATAGTGATTCAGAGGGAAAGTGTAAGGGCTTCTCTGTGTGGGAACTGGAAAAGTTTTCATGTGCATTTTGGTTTGGGCTACTCAGAGGCCCCCTTTGCAGGGGGTGAAGGAGCTTGGACCCTGGCTGGGGTCAGGAAGTCCTGGATATCAGGCCTGCCTTACTCTTGGTATTTCCATGTTTTGTTCAGCCTATATGAAATAGTCACTGGCCATACTTTACAGATAAGGAGAGTTGAATCTCAGAGAGAGAGATTAAGCATCTTGTCTGAGGTCACGCAGTTGTTACCACGGGATCTGATACCAGGTTTGTTGCCACCAAACTCTTATTCTTTCCATGGCCCCACCCACAGCCAGAATACTGGGAAGCTGGCCTAAATCCAAACACATTGAAAGGCTATGGGCGACAGCTGGATTGGGTCCCTTAGCTGAATGTTTTATAGGCTTAGTTACCTTGGCACGCTGTATCAAGATCATAGACTTTGGGTCAGATCGGGGCTGTGTTCTGGATTAGCTGTTAACTTGCTGTGCAACCCTGAACAAGCCTCTTCCCTTCTCTGGGCTGTACTTTTGCTATCTGGGAAGCTTTCTAAAATTTTGAAACAGTGACCAATACTATGGTATAAAAGAAGAGAGAATTGTGAAAGGGAGGAAGGCACTGGTGGCCAAAATGGAACACGATTTGACACCTGGGGGACCTGCCTTCAAACTCAGCTTTCCTACTTACTGTCTGTATGCCCTTGGGCATTTCTGTGCCTCGGTTTCTTCATGTGCATCTGAAAATGAGGATAATATCTCACAGTATATCGAGAAAATTAAATGACAATGTTAGATCTGAGTAACTGGAAGAAAAGCAGGGGATTCATAACTGAATTTGACTTAAGACCCAACCATCTGCTTTGACTTATCAAACATAGGGTTGCCCTGGAACTACCAATGTGTAAAATGTAAGACAAATACTCTCTGGTCAGATGCCCCGTAAACATTACCAACACATGTTGCAATGACTGAAGATTCACCTGACTTAGGGGGAACACTGTCCAAAGTCTTCAGACTACATAGGAACTTCCAAATTGGTGGTGGCTGGTTCTGTCTGCTTCAATGCCTATCATTTCTAGGTGAAGCTGGATACAGGATGGACAATGGCTATCTAGACCATCTCAAAAGTCCTCTTCTGGGCTGGTGTCCTAGCCTCCAGTGACACAAGGACTGAGGCTGCATCCATTTCCCTAGTAGCTGCCCATGCCCTTCAAACAGGCCTGAGCCTCTCAAACACACTCCCATTCTCATCCCAGCACTCCCACCTTAATGTTTATGTTAAAGCAAACAACCGCCCTGGTTGCTCCCTGTTACAGCACGCCATCTCTCTCCTCCAAGCCTGTGCTCACACTGGACACTCTTACAACATTGGTGAAGTCTTACACATCATTTAAGATACAGCTCAGTGTCTCCTCCACTGGGAATTCTCTCCTCTGAGCTCTTATAATGACCTACACATATCTCCACAAGGACACACTGTACTGCAATTATGTTTTTGTCTCCCCAGCTAGAGTTTGACTTACTTTAGGACATGACTTACCCACGGCTAGTTCACTGCCATATTTCCAAGCACTTAAGACTTGCCTGAGACAGGGTGGATTCTTAATAAAAATATTTGTTGAATGAATGAACGGTTTTTAGGCCCTGGGCCCCGCCTCATTCCTGGTACATAACATACTCAGTTTATGCTTGATGAACTGAACTGAGCAATTTGAAAGTTGTTCCACTCAATGCTTTGCTTCATTTTAAGGGACTGTAGTCCTCCTTCCTGGAGTTCTGGGCAAAACCAACAGTCAATATTGCTGCCCTTGGGCAAAGGGTAGCTTGTTTAAAAGAGATGCCCATGCTCCCGATATCATGAACTGACACTGGTCAGGTTAGCTATGGGGATGCCTCAGTGTATTCCTGAACTCCAACCATCTTTGGTAAAATCAGCAGTTTTACCTTGACAGCAAGTGTCCCTGTGGGACTCTAGCACTCTACAGCCTTAAACTGGACCAGCCCCCGGGTCTTGTCAGATTTGTGATCTCTGATCAGGTTGTTTTCAGAATTCAGCAAATCTGTCTATCTGGCTGTTACTGACAGTGACACAAAGAAAGGTAACCTTGCCAGGAGACGGTGTTCCAGGCCACCAACCCCACTAACTAAATTTATCATCTCACTCTATTACCCAGGCTGGAGTGCAGTGGCATGATCACAGCTCACTGTGGTCTCGGTCTTCCAGGCTCAAGCAATCTTTCCACATCATCCTCTCAAGTAGTTGGGACTCCAGGCGCGTGCTACCACATCCAGCTAATTTTAACAAAATTTTTCTTTGTGGAGACGGGGTCTCCCTATGTTGCCCAGGTTTGCCTTGAACTCAGGGGCTCCCTTTGAACTGGGCTTGGGGCTGCTGACCTCCTTCCTCCCAGGAAGTTGTGTTCCTGGCCAGTCTTGCCCATGGGTATTGCCAGTCACATGATTCAACTGGAGGCCCATGTGGCACAGAGAAGGAAAACTACAGACTCCAAGTGAAGAACCGTCCTCACCTGACAGGGGCTCCCCGGGACTGAGCAGGTTTCAGCATCACGGTGATGGTCGTGTCTGTCTCATTCAGTGGGGTGTCTGTGTCGTACTCAGGCATGGATGGAGCTGGACAGGAAACAGAGAGTGCAGGTGAGTTCAGGACAGGTTCCCAACCGGCTCGCCACCGCCCCTTGCTGCCATCCTTAAAGACACAGCATGACCAGAGGGAGGACGTTTAGGAAAGGGGTTGGATAAGAAGCCTTCCAGGCCTTCAGTAAAGGAGGCCCTGATGCCCAACCTGCCCACAGTAGGTTTCTTCAAGGTGCAGTAGTGTAGGGAAGGGTAGCAATGATGTGTCCAGTAACCTACATGAACCAAAACGTTTCACACCTAATAAACATGTGGAGGGAATGTAAGTACTAACAAAGAAGTGAAAGCAGAATCAACCCTGCTAAACACATTTAAAATGCAAATTAAATCAATTATGAACTACTTCCCCTCTACCTGTTTTTTTAATTCATGAGACCCCCCCTTCCCTCATACTCAACTGATAGGAATGCAACTATATCTATTCCTTTGGGAAGGTAATTTAGCCATTTGTAGCAACAGCTATTAAAACCCACATCCTTTTTAATTCAGTTTTTCCAAATTCTGAATTTAATTCTAAAGTTATAATCCAAACCAATGAATGAAACTTTATTTTGTAACATGTTTATTGAAGCGTTATTTTGTAAAAACATGGAAGCACCAAATATATCCAACCACAGGGGAATGTATAATTAAATTATGTCCATCCACTTGACAGAACATTATAATGAAAGCAATGTAGCAACATAGGAAATACTTATGGGATAAAGATAAGAGAAAACATTAAGCTACAAAAAAACCATGTTTTTCTGGAAAACCATGTGCAAAATATGTATGTATGCAGACCAGAATTGCATAGATATTTAGGATAATGAAAGCTGTAGAAAAGGTTCTGAAATAATTCTTCATTGTTGCTGTCTAGTGGCAGAGGGGGCCCTACTGGTGATGGCAGTCTGTAATTTTGGACTGCTGTGGCCCTATAATATTTATTCATTCATTCATTCATTCATTCATTCATTCATTCATCAGGCATTTCATAAGAACCTGTGCTGTCTTGTTCTGGCAAAAAGAATGTTCCTGAAATGAATTTAATAACCAACTTGTGCGCAATACACATTATCTACACACACATGTACTATTTAATGCAACCCTGTGGGCACATTATTTAGTGGCTTGCCACCTAATTAATCTAATTTTTACACTTTAGGAAGTTCATCACTTAGATTTTCTTCATAGGAGACAACAATGGTAACTCACTAGGTACTGGATCCTCTTAATTCCACCCATATCACAGGGTGACAATTCAAGAAAAATTTCCACTTCAAGGAAAATTAGGAAGTGGGCGTGAAACAACCTTTTTCCCTTTTTCCTTTCTAGCAGAGATACCTGAAATTTTGGTGGCGATCCGAGTGGTGACAGGGGGCCCAAAGCCCTTTGCTGTGCTGGCCTTGATGGTGAAGGAATAGGTGGTCCCTGGGTACAGACCCACAAAGAGGTGGTGGGTTTCATTCCGGAGCTTGAACACTTTCCCCCTCTGGCTGGAGAGGTCAGCACTTGGGTCCAGCGAGCCAACAGCCTTGTAGTTGATCTGTAGGACAAGTCAGCAAACAAACAAATCAATGCCTCACTCAGGAAGCTGGATGGAGCTCATTTGGAGGAACCTTAGGGAGGTGGGGGAAGGGGCGGGCATGTGAGCTTGGCCAGCAGATTCTGCTAAGCTGCCTGTTGCTGTCCACTTTACAGATGATCCCAGCCTCCAAATACCCCATTGCTCACTCACTGGAGCAATGCATGTTTTCATTGATTTGTGGGAGTTAAAACTTAAAATAATTGAACTCACGGAGATAGAGAGTAGATGGATGGTTATCAGAGGCTGGGAAGGGTAGTAGAGGGTAGAGGGATGGTTAATGGGTAGAAAAAATTGAAAGAATGAATAAGATCTTATATTTGCTAGCACAACAGGGGGTCCATGGTCAAAAATAACTGTACATTCAAAAATAACTAAAAGGGTATAATTGGATTGTTTCTAACAGAGAGGATAATTGCTTGAGGGGATGGACACCCCATTTATCAAGATGTGATTATTACGCATTACATGCTTATGTCAAAACACCTCACGTAACCCATAAATATATATACACCTACTATGTACCCACAAACAAAAAATTTAAAAAAGAAACAGAGGGTGACCCACAGATGTCATTTTGAATTTTCTAACAGTCTCATGAAAAGAAAAAAAAAAAACCTTTTAGTAACACATCTTGTTGAATCCAGTGTATCCAAACTATTATGATTTCAATCTGTAGACAACATAAACATTGAATGGAATTGTTTACAATCTACTATTCATATGAAGTCTTATAAACATGTCTTTTACCCCTTCAGTGCATCTTCATTTGGACCAGCCACTGCTTTTCACAAGTGCAGTAGCCCCATGTGGCCAGTGGCCACCATACTGGACACTGCAGTCATAGAACAGTATCCAGGTACAGCATCGTGATGAGATTTATGAGGCTTGTTAAAAATGCAGATCCTGGGCCCCATATTCCAGACAGATAGCAATTGCAGACTGTTGCTTTCTCGTGCACTATCTTTTTTGTCTTCCTCAAATCCTTGGGGGCATCAGGATAGCTACTCTCATTTTAATAATGGAGAAACCGAGGTGCCAATGGAAGCAACTTGCATGCAATCCGCATTTTTCAAATTATATATGGAGACAGTTTGTCTATGATATATGAAGACCATGCCCCATGCGACATATTATGTGAGTTCAGCAATAACTAAACTGGTCTACACCTGTGGAATGATTTGTGTCTACTGTTCCCCGATCATACACTTGAGTGTCACAGCAAGATACCAGAAGAGTTTTGAAGGGTGCACTCTCAATTTCTGCACTTGCTCAAGGGTGAAAATAACTAACAATTGGTAGCCCAGCACTGGTCCCATGGATCACACTTTGAGTGTCACATCTTGAAATTACACAGTTGTAAAGTGGCAAACAAGATTTTTTTGTCTGTCTTACTTGGTTTGTTCCATTACAAATATTTTATTTGGCTAGGTGTGGTGGCTCACACCTGAAATCCCAGCAGTTTAGGAGGCCAAGGTGGGAGGATTGCTAGAACCAGGAGTTTGAGAACAGTCTGGGCAACACAGTAGGACCCTGTATCTACAAAGTATTAAAAAATTAGCTGGGTTGGTGGTGCACATCTGTAGTCCCAGCTACTCAGGGGCTGAGGTGGGAAGATGGCTTGAGCCCAGGAGTCCAAGGCTATAGTGAGCCATGATTGTACCACTGCACTTTAGCCTGGGTGAGAGAGAGAGACCTTGTCTCTAAAAAATAAAAAAATTAATTATGGTATAATACACATACAGAAAAGCATACCTCTTGATGAATTTTTGAAAACTGGATACAGTCATATAATCAAAAACCAAACCATTACCAGGCCCAAAACTTTTTCCTCACACTCCCTTGCAATCCTACTTGCCTACCCCCATCAGGGATCACCTCTGTCTGACTTTTAACAGCATAGATGAGTTTTGCCAGTTTTTGCACTGTGTATCAGTGCAATCCTATGAAACGCACATTTTTGTTTCTGGCTTCTTTCTCTCAATGTTATCATTATGTCCGTGGAATTCATCCATGTTGTCACAGGTAGTAGCAAGTAAGGCATTCTCAGGTACATTCAACAATCTCTTGCTGACACTGTACTAGGCAGGTCTGACTCCAAAGCCTGTACTTTATACTCTATACCACACTGCCTGGCCTGGAGACAGTGCATCAATTGCAAAATGCATTCACTCATTCACTTATTTGCTCCTTCACAGTGTTTCCTGTGTACACCTGTATTCTAGGTCCTGCACTGTGTGCTGCTGGGGGTGCCCAGCTGAATTCGAGTCAGGCCTCATGCCCAAGTGACTTCCGTTCTTGAGAGAGGTAAGCCAGCGATATAGACAGCTGACATCACTCATCTTCTGTCAAGAATGGCCAAACCCAGGCAGAAAAGGAAGCACACCAACTTCCCTTCAAAAATCAGCAATTTGCTGTTACTGGCAATGGCACCACGTGTTTTTTGGAAAGAGGTCAGACTGTGCCTAGAGCAGAGTGTGCAGGAGGAAGTAGAAATGCAGGGAGTTGAGGGCTTTGGGCTTTTCTCAGGCAGCACCTGAGCGTGCATGTGCACCATGCAGGTGGCTGTTAGCTTTAGGCTGCTCTGGTGGACCTGTCTACAGCGTTCCCTCCGGTCACCCCTGCCCACCCCAGTCCTTCTCAGAGGCAAGTGCTGCAATCATCTATCTGCCTCTCTGCTTGAGGACTTTCTCCATGGGTGCTTGCTGGGAACGGGGGTTAATTAACACCCAGCCCTGTTGGGAGTTGATGCATAAATTTTCCAGGCTCCCCTTCCTTATACTCCTGCAAGCTCCCCCTCCTTGGCATCCCTGCAGCATCCCAATTTCCCTGAGAGCCTCAGCTCCACTTGCCTCTAGAAGGAGCTGGTTTGAAAACACAGTGATTATTGGCGACTTTCCTTTCTCTTCCCCACTCCATACCTCTTTACTGGTGTTTCTTATACTTCTCAGCAAACTGCTCATATTCAAATCCTCATCTCAGGGTCTGCATCTGAGAATGACCAAACTAAGGAAAAGTGCTCAGGGAGGTATCTCAGGAGAGAGTACAATGGACGCCTGAGGGACAATCCTGAGTAAGAAGAGGAGTGTTCTAGGTTCCAGGCAGAGAGAACCGCATGGGCAAAGACCTGGGGTGGGAAAAAGTTTGGACAGGGCAAAGCCCAGAGCCACCGCAGAGTAGCAAGCAAACAGGGGCAAATGGAGTTTTCAGTGTGCAGGTGGATTCTGGTTTCCACTGTGGCAGAAAAGGTGAGATGTTCAGCCTGTAGCCACCAACCCCAGCGCACCAGTGGAGAGGACGTGTGCTTGCATTCTTTGAAAATTCTGTCCCTGTCCCCCTGCGTGGACTGGTGGCAACTACATTGATATACAGACACTGGGAGGTAAAACTCATGCCTTATTTACTAGCCAATTCCTTTCCTGCGCTCCAAATTCAATCCAAAAGCAACTCAATTTCCACCGAGCTGTCAATATAATATACCGCGCTCCTCTGCTCTCCTAACCTTTCCTGGTATTACAGGATCCTCACTTACTTGTAATGAAACACGATGAATAAATCAATGTATGTTAATATAGCATGTCTTCAATTTTTTATGAAGGGCTTCACCAAATCTAATTCCCACTGCTTTGTCAGAAACACTCTTTGAAAAATTTAACTTGCAAGTTTTATGAAGTTAGTGGGGGATTGGGCTGGGGAGGGAAAGAAGAAAGGTGAGAAAAATGGGATGGGAGGGAGCTGTGGCTGTAAACGTATAATACAATATGAACCTTCATTTGTAAGTGGGGAAAACGAAAGATTTGTTAGAATAGCAAACATAAAATAAAGGGTTAGTAGGGGGAAGGGTGCACAACTGCAATCAACCCTGGGCTCCTGGCATGGGTTCTGGCTGCAAAAAGTACTCAAGGATGTCCCCCTTCTCTTTCAGTTACTGACAGTAGGATCCCCAGCCAGAAATCAAAGCAGGTGCTTCATAACAAAAATCCAAGGATGGGTGTGGTGGCACACACCTGTAATCCCAGCACTTTGGGAGGCTGAGGCAGGTGGATCACTTGAGGTTGGGAGTTGGAGAGCAGCCTGACTAACATGGAGAAACCCCATCTCTACTAAAAGTACAAAAAAATATTATCCAGGTGTGATGGTGCATGCCTGTAATCCCAGCTACTCGGGGGCCTGAGGCAGGAGAATTGCTTGAACCTGGGAGGCGGAAGTAGCGGTGAGCCAAGATGGCACCATTGCACTCCAGCCTGGGCAACACGAGTGAAAATGCCCCTCAAAAACAACAACAACAACAACATCCAATCATGTCATAAGAACAATGGTTTCCCATAGCTCTCAGGATGAAGAGTGTGTCTTTGTCATGTGGTCTTAATGAGCTCAGTGCATGAGCTGACCTCTCTTGTCCTCCCCCCAGCACCCCAAGCCTTACTTCAGTACCTAAAAAGAGCTACGGTCTTTTCTGCCACAGGACCTTGCACCAGGTCTTCTATCAGCTTGGGCCTCTTACTCCTTCCCATGCCTCCTTTTTGCCTCATTCATGACTCCTCACCCTTAGCGAACCTCACTTACAGGGACTCTTTTTATGGGTATCTTCTCTGACTCTCAGGTTCTCTTATTTTATGTTTCCAGAGTCATCTATCTCACCTTTGAGCCACTAACTTTCCATGTAACCATGTAATTATTTCATCAATAAGTCCCTTTTCTACCAGCCCAGGAGCTGAAAAAATATGACTTGCAAGTCAAATTCAATCTACCGTCTGTTTTTGTAAGTAAAGTTTTATTGGAAAACAGCTACACCATTGATTTAAATATGGACTACGGCTACTTTCACACTACAAAAGCAGAGCAACGTAGCAACAGATACCCTATAGCCCACGCTGCCTAAAGTATTTATTCTCTGGCCCTTATAGAAAAAGTTTGCAGACCTCTATACTAGATTTGAAGCTCCAAGGAGGCAAAAATCG